ATTTTCCTTGATTTTTCTAAGGCATTTGACACAGTAGACCACGACATTCTACTGCACAAACGAAAAAAACTCAGGTATTGGTGATTGTTCGCTAAACTGGTTTTGATCGTATGTATCGAATTGCTCACAATATGTGTCAATTTCTGACAGCGACTCCCTCCCTCTCCCAGTCACATGTGGTGTTCCCCAAGGTTCCATTCTCGGCCCCCTACTATTTACATTATTTATAAATGATCTGCCTAATGTCTTCAAATCCTCAAATGTACACATGTACGCAGATGACACGGTAATCTATGCGAGCAATTCCGATCTACCGCAGCTTGAGGCTGTGCTCCAAGACCAGTTTACGGAGGTAGAAAAGTGGATCGCAAAAAACAAACTCTTCCTGAACACTGACAAAACTGTCACAATGATCTTTGGAACAGTACCTAAATTACACAAATTACACAATTCCCACCTATCCATCAAAACAAATTCAAATGGCACACTAACCGCAGTCCACTCTTTCAAATACTTGGGTATGATGTTAGACTCAATCTATCTTTTGGCCTGCACATAGAAAAGCTTGCATCTAAACTTTATCCAAAACTATGTGCCCTGTACAGAAACAAATCCTGCCTAAGCCCTTCAGTAAAGGAAAAGATTGTACTGCAAATGCTGATGCCAATCATTGATTATGGGGATGTAGTATATGCATCTGCATCGCAATCCCACATTAATAAACTCAACACATTGTATAACTCGTTCTGCCGATTTGTGCTACAATGTAATTACAGGACCCACCATTGCGACATGCTAAAAGAACTAAACTGGCTGTCGCTGGAATCCCGACGCACCCTTCATCTTTCCAGCCTTGTGTTTAAGAGCTTTTCTGGGAAACTCCCACCCTACCGGAACACAATGCTTTCCCCAGCTGTTCCCACTTCCTATAACCTCCGATCCAGTACCAACACTTTACTTAGTCTACATCAATACAAAAAGAAAGCAGCCCGATCCTCCCTCTCCTACAGAGCACCGCAATTGTGGAACAACCTCCCGCACAATTTAAAATCTTCCCTAAGCCTAAAGTCCTTTAAGAGATCCCTCTCTACATACCTCAAAACAGAATGCACCTGTCATGGCTGATTATATATTTCCTACCTGTTCTATGTTAAATTTTGTATTTATTGTGTATTAATATTGTTTTTGTATTTTATTGTACCCTAACTGTAACAATGCAATGATTTCTGGACCCAGGACATACTTGAAAACAAGAGAAATCTCAATGTATCTTTCCTGGTAAAATATTTTATAAATAAATAAATAAATACATTTATTAAATCTAGGCCCATGTTGCCAGACATCATGGTAGAACAGATCTCCAGTGACCTGTGGACGCAGTAGAATTGCCAACTGACACACTTTGCTAGAACACAATTTACAGTGTCTCTAACACAGGCTGTCCAAGTACTATTGTCGTGTTCTCCCAGATAGAAAGTAATGTTCCCTTAAAGAAGATAGAAAATATAATCTAATCTAGTTATTCTATCTACCTGCTGGATTAATATAACATTGTGGAGGTTGTTTTTCCAAATTTAGGACACACAGCAGGAGATTATCAAGAAGATGACAAACTCTGTCATACTAGTTATTCAGTTATTCTATGGCATGCTTCAAATTATCTTACAGTATGAGAGCGATGTTTACCAAGTATCGTTACCCATCAAGTCCTTAAGTTGGTAACAATTACTTGGATTGGATACATTCCATTCTGTAAGTGCACAGGTTCATTTTTTTTCTCTTGTACTTCCTTTCATCCATTTGCCATAAGGAGGTTGTATTTATAGTTCCCATGTCACTGTTATATTGTGCTCAATAAAGGTCGTGGATTATGACCGAAACATTGTAGTGGTGAAATTTTGTTTTTCAAACTCTTATTTTGCGTAGTGCGCAATTCTTAGAATTTATATATATATATATATATATATATATGTATATATATTTACAGAATATGTTAGAGGTGTACTGGATACCACACTCACCAAGAAACCCAGGTGCTCTGAAGCCAGGGCTGGCCAGGCCTCCCTTCCAAGATATGCAGAATAAATAATGGTTCAGGCACTCCGGGATAACAAAAATAGCAGTTTTATTGGGGCAAAAGCAGCAACGTTTTCACCCTACCGGGTCTTTATCAAGTTCAAGCTCAAGCTTGATTAAGACCCGGTTGGTCCAAATCGAGGCTGAATATGTTGCATGTCTACATATCTATTGATATTTATATAAAGCAAATGGTAAACTATAGAAGCAACTGCAATATTGCAGCCGCAAAGCTGAGCCACATCGTGTTGGTCTGACAAATATTACTTTAATTTACAAATGTTCAATGCAACCAACATAGTTCTACTGTCACTAACATACAGTCTTGAAAATAAACAAAAAGTTAACTATTGTCTCTGTGAACTAAACTCAGGAAGAGCTGTACATTACAGGGTGTAATCACTAAACCAGAAAGCTGAAAATTTAGGGTAAAATGATCAAGCCAAGAATTTAGTCCAATACGCACAAAATTATAATCTGGTGTGAAGAGCAATGAATAAAAATAAAAAAGCCTGATTAATTTTTTCAAAGCTTTTTTTTTTCACATTTGAACAATCTACGTTTATCCTTGAACATCTATTGCGAACCTTTAAATTTAAGAAAAAATTTCGCTGTAGCTAGTTCACAATGGTCATTCAATCTAACAATTTTTTCCTTAATGGGCAAGCCACATAGAGTCATTTCACGAATGCAAACACTGTCTTCTTGTGAATAACTCATTTCCCAAATTGATACACGGCTCAACAACTTCAAGGGTGGCTTTATGAACAATACGGAACATTTGTATTTCTTGACAATTCTTGCATTGAACGTATTGTGTTGTGTGACCAGCCGTGCATCGGATAATGCTATTAAAAATGCATCATATTGTTCACAATGCAAATTCATTACAAGCTGGTATGAATTATTGGCTTAATACAGACATATGTTTTAATGCTTTGCTACACAAAGCATGCATATTTTACAAAATAAAATTCCAGGAATACAAGACACAGTCAAGTACAGGGCATAAACAAAGACTCGGCTTCATGCGGTGCTCTATAGTGAACAATCAAGTTAAAAGGAAATATTAGCAGTGTGGGGAGCTTGCTATAGATACATCGACCCAATGGTGAAAATTAGAATGTTGCCAACTTTAATCCTGTATGTGTTACAGTAACTCTTGGAGTTAAATGGCAATTGTAGAGTGTTCACCAGGAATCGTACAGGGTCATGGTCTTCTGAATGTTGTCCTGCTGTGTTTCTATGTGTGGTAATTGTATCATTCCAGTAAGTGGTACTTATCACAGCTATATGTCAACACCCATCTCAAGATATCGTACGTCTGAAAACACCTCCCAGCCTCTTCTCAAGGCGTAGTTTTAAAGAGTGTCTTGCCCAAGGTCAAAATGAATGCCAACTAAGGATCTGTATTGGGTTAACCTGTTTCTAATGGCTCGGTCCCCCGCTGCGCCCGTAACTCAAGTGTGACTGCTAGAGTAGCTTTTAGACTGAAAATAGTATGGTTACGATGTGTTAGAAGCAGTTATACCATATGGAGAGCATTGAAAGGTTGCCAGGTAACAAAACTTATTATCATTTGGTGTGAGTAAACACTTGTGAAATTGAAAGGGTCTGTCGTGTTTTGCATGTAATGTAGGGATGCATCTTAAAACTGGCGATTTCTGTAATCTGCTCTCAGTGGACCCCATTAAAACAACTTCATAAAGATTTAAATAATGAAGTGACTGTATGAGAAAATAAACCGGCTGAGAGAAAACAGACTCCGAAAGAACACATTGAGTAGAATTGCTGCTTTAATAGTTGCTAAATACACTCTTTCTTCTTCCTGCCATATGGCCTGTGATAGAAAATAGCAGTCAACAGAACAACACACAAGATGACATTGCAAGCAGAGGTTTTACAAAAGCCCAGAATACAATAAATGACCGAGCTAGTGCGTTAAAAATGCAGAGGAATACACAAGTGACTTTCAAACAGATTCACAGATAAATACATGTACAATTGCAGATGTAACCTTCATACTCAACTAACTTCCATGCTAATATATACAAATATCAATGAGGATGATATTATAAATGCATGCAAAAAAAATGTTTCACAGACAATGGTGCAGACAAACATAACTACAGAGCAAAAACTTTCATGGGAGCACAAACACATTCACATACATTATGCTTTCATATGTACTACCGATAATACAAAAAAATTATTATATGTACAGAATTTATAAAAAAAAAAAAAACTTTTGGAGAAACTTAATGCTGGCCATGATAGAAAGGTGAACATAAATACATAAAGAAAAGTCCTGTGCTCACTCCCATCACTCCTGGGCGGCAGCAACGACCACAGTATACATCAGCCCCAATATATAGTAAAAACCCCCAAAAAAGTTACCTGTGCCCTCTCCTTAATCCCTATGTATATTTAAACAAATGGAGGTCATTTAGTTACTCCAATAGCCACTGGAGGGAATGCCCACCTGCCAATGTCAAGGCAGACCCCCGTAGACGGGTCCTACTCTGACCCTTCACCTTGCTTCCTTGAGCCTCTGGCAAAGATATTTCTAATGAGACAGAAAGGGGTATTTTTATATACACCACTATATACTTATTAACCCTTAATAGGGAACACATGGGATGGGCAGCAGCATTGTAACAAAGCTGTGTGATACAAAAAGTGAGTACAAATACAAAAAGAAAAGTCCTGCGCTCACTCCCATCACTCCTGGGCAGCAGCAACGACCACAGTACACATCAGCCCCAATATATAGTAAAAACCAAGGAAACAAAACGTTACCTGCGCTCTCTCCTTACTCCCTATGTATATTTAGACAAATGGAGGTCATTTAGTTACTCCAATGGCCACTGGAGGGAATTCCCGCCTGCCAACGTCAAGACAGACCCCCCCCTAGACGGGTCCTACACTGACCCTTTACCTTGCTTCCTTGAGCTTCTGGCAAAATATCTCTAATGAGAAAGAAAGGGGTATTTATTTTATATATTAAGGGTTAACAAGTATATAGGGGTGTATATAAAAAATACCCCTTTCTGTCTCATTAGAGATATTTTTGCCAGAAGCTCAAGGAAGCAATGTAAATGGTCAGAGTAGGACCCGTCTAGGGGGGTCTGCCTTGACGTTGGCAGGTGGGCATTCCCTCCAGTGGCCATTGGAGTAACTAAATATATGTATATATATATAAACACACATACAAAAAGATACACATACATTGACAAATGCACACAAACTGTAAAACAATCCCACACATGTACATAAATGCACACAAATGTCATTGTCAGAAGCACATGATAACTACTGTGCATTCATGTAACTAATGTCAAATATATTAATACAATTGGCCAACTTGAGGCTTCTTTGAAAAAACAAAAACAGAAAACATTGGACTTGACTTGGATCATGACAGATCCTTTCTAAATGTCCAAACTTCTAGAGCTCAGTCTATTCTGCGTTCTGCCATCCACTGGGAATGAAAGGCCCAACCAAATCGCTATCTTTTTTTTTTCAATCACACAATTCAAAGGTGATATCCTTCAGGGATCTTTTAAGCAAACTAAGCTGTTGTTTATTATTTAATGATTCGCTGTAAATAATGCAAGCTAATTGATTGAAAGCCTTGGTTGATGCAGCCAGCTTAATGTTATACCAGAAGGTGCACAGACAGCAATTCACTTTATTAATGACAATACAAAAGATTAACTGAGAGCTTTCTCTCGGCTTCCAACACCTCCTCTTAATTGCTCACTCAGGACATTAAGCTACCTAATAGGCTACATTCTCAGTGTAGTCTACTTTTTCTTTGTAGTGGATAACTGTTTCTTTTGTTACCAGAATGTTCAATGCATCCTAGAACAATGTGTTGCTCATTTTTTTGGCACTTAGAGATTAAACTTTTTTTTTTTGAGATGAAGTAATGTCTGCGCCCATTCAGTTTTTATTAAGTCTTAATAATCAAAAACATTGTTTTGATGGATAAGTCTGTAGTTTATGCGCTGGTACAATGCTCAGCCTGCTTAATGTATTCTTAATTTAATTCAGTTTTCAGTACAATTAGCAGCACACTGCGAGTTAGAGAAGAAACTTTTTTGGAAGCACCCTTCGCATAGTATAAGCAGCAGCCCAGTGGCACATCTGTAACCGCGGCTGGTTCCCTTATTTACCACTATAACGTCTTAAAGCATAGAAGTTAGCAGGGCTAACCATACAGATATCTTAGCCATAATTTTATATAGTTAGTAAGAAATCCTCTATTTAACAAATATAAATAATTGAGAATACAATTTAAAATAAGGATTGTCTTTGAAGCAATAAAGTTTTGTCTTTTAGATACTTATTATATAAAAATATAAATATAGACATATAAAATCCATTATGGCAGAGTTTATAAGATTAAATTACACGCCTGCAAATATCATTAATAGGTTAACATACCCTTCTGAACATGTCATCATGTCAGCCTCTCTGTCATTTTAAGATGGAGCAGCATCTGTCTCCATGTCTCTCCTCTGTGTCTTAACATTGAAAAGTACACCTATTTATACCTTAGGTGTCTCCATTTTAGGGTCACCGTAGTTCATATATGAAAAAGTAACTTATTTTACTTTTATTCATTTTAGGACCTCCCTTAACTTGGCAAAAATACAAGGCCATAACTAAATGGTGTACACGTCATGGAAATTTTCCTGACTTAGGTCAAGAAGGCATCTTAAAGTCTGAACATCTTTATCTGCTTAGGGTTACCACAGTATATTATGTACTGAAAGAGTCGTAGCATAGACTTGACGCTTGTTTATGCATTATTGTTATTGTATTTTGTCTGGGACCAAATGGCGTAAACATGATTTGCACTGAAGGTAAGTAAGAGGTTATTGCTTAAAGAAAGATGTATGGAAAACAATACGTTCCATTTCTAACACCTTGTCAGTTTGCAATATCTATTAAAGACAAACTGCACAGTTTAAGAAATGCAACATTTCATTCTAAAACTTGTAATATTTGCATTTGCCCATAACACGTCGAGGTAAAATTGTCTGTTTTCATATTAGTTGTGTTCAAATGTTAATTCTATTAATAATATAATCACATTAGAGGTGCATTTATAAGTAATATGACATTCCACTGGCTACCAGCACAGAATATAAGATGACTTTCTCTAACTGCTATTTTGGTAATTCTGTATATAGTGGTTGCATTCCTGCATTATTTGAAAACACACAAAAAAATAAAAAATGTTCACATGTTTTCTTTTTAAAAAAAGTCAGCATTATATGCTTTTAATGCACACTGTGGGCTATAGGAAAACAAAAAACAAAAAAAAAACATTAGCATATATAAAAGGTATTAAAAAAGCAATTTTCACACAGATGTCAATGGTATTCGGTTATCTAAGTTAAGTTTATCTCTTGCATTAGCATCTAGCCCTACATGATTCGAGTTAAATTGGCTAGCCAACTTTGGCTAAGACTGATTAATTGATTATTAATACCTGATGGCTGGCTGGGCAACTGGGCATGACATTTTATTTTTCGCTCTGTATAAAGTATTCAGTATGAGAATAGGCATGTGGCTAAGGACGTGTAATATCACATATTCAGTTCTACTGCGGTCATTTGAGCTGAATATTGCCCTTGAGGGACTTGGTTAAAATGTCAGTATTTTCATTAATGTTGTAATGATAAAAAGATTGTCCTTATGAAATTAGTGGCTTTTTTTAAACTTTGCCCTTAAACTGCTATACATTTATATAATTATATTTATATGTATGTGTACAAATGTGTGGTGCCAATTGAGTGACTGACCCAGGTGATAGTTGTTATGTGGTCCCTGAGTCAAGAGGCATACTGTGAGACATATCTCACCCTGTTGATGTAGTAGTGAATGGCCTGTATCACTACCACCTGTGATTACCCCTACCTGCCTGTGACTCCGTCTAATAAAAAGTCAATTTCACACTGACAAGAAGAATCATTAACAGACAACATCTAATCGATGTCTACCTTATAAGTGTGTGACCTGTGCAATCACAAAGGAAGCACACAGCGAAGTAGCACTACCACACTGCCATAACATATTACCGATCAGTGTCGAGATGCGTGGGTCTTATGGTGCTGATCATATGGTTCCTTCAAGTGATGAAGAGCAGTGACTGCCTTGGTTCTTACAATCAAAGCAAGGTTAGGGGAGAATATGGGGGGGGGGGTTGTAATGCTGAGGAAGGTTAAAGGGCATGTAGCAGTTAGAATGTAAAGGAATTGGAGAGACAAATAAAATGGTGGAGAGATAAGTTGGGGAAAAGAAAAGCCCAAAATTGGAGGATGTGGAAATAAAATTGGTAAGAAACACATTTGAGAGGAAAGATGAGTGGTTGTGTGAGGGAAGGATATATGAATATACAAATGGGAAAGTGGAGTAAAAAGACAAATTCTAGAAGGAAATGAGGATAGATAAATATGGGGAGTAGATGGAGCACAGGTGGAGAGACACATAACCACACATGCACACACAAGTACATTACTAAACATACATACTGGCATACTGACAGGGATAGCGACAGGATCAGTTATCTGTAAAGCTCTTGAGTCTCCTCTAGTCTTACTTAGATAATTTATTATATTTGTATTTCCAGAGAATCTGGTACTGCTGACAAGGGTAAGGCCAGGGCCAGATTAAGAGCCAATTGGACCTGGTGCTGACAATTAAAATAGGCCTAGTTACAGAATCTTATCGACAGAAAACACTAAAACAGTCATACCTCCTAAGCGTCATGTATCTGGTGGAGATGGTGCTGGAGGGAAACTCACAGGATATAGCTATCAGAAAACATATACTCTATACTAATCTCTCACTTTCATCTCTCAAGTAAATCTATACCCCCTAGCAACAGTGTCCGGTGAAGCAGGATTTTGGTGGACGGGGTAAAAGGGTGGGCACTGATGTGAATCACGTAACCAGAACTGCCCAATGGGGCAAACATGCCCAAAAATGGGGAGTTTCTGCATTTAGAATTGGAAGGTCAGTCTAGAGTGAATGCACATCAGGCTGCCTGCCAATTGTGAAATAAAAATAAATAATGGTGCAGTTTATAAAAACACCAAGTCTGCTAACATGCACTCAGAAGATAATAATTGATTGCAGGCATATAAGTAGATGGAAGCAGCTTTTCTATTGACCTTAAATAGGAGTTAAGAGAGAGACACAGACATAGTGCACCAATAAAATAACTTAGTAAGTATTTATTTGCATTGCACTTACAGAATCAACATGTAAATCGAGCATATCACAAAACCAATCCTTAAGGACCACAGACCTGGATGGAATCCCTTGGGGTCTGGGACAAGTTATGAAGCAGCCAAAAAAAACATACACAAATAAAAAAACAGTATAAAAACAAATTAAAGTGCTGAATGAGTCTCTCCGGAGAGACTCTCCATCTCCTTCAGCGCCCATGTTAATACAGCCCTGGGTCAGGGGAATAAAATAACTTGAAGATATAAGTAGGCAGTCTGTCAGTGAGACAGAGTAACTGACAACAAAATGTTATAACTGACATTTTTATTTAAACAAACATTACATAGTTACATAGTTACATAGCTGAAAAGAGACTTGAGTCCATCAAGTTCAGCCTTCCTCACATTTGTTTTTTGCTGTTGATCCAAAAGAAGGCAAAAAACCCCAGTTTGAAGCACAATTTTGCAACAAGCTAGGAAAAAAATTCCTTCTTGACCCCAGAATGGCAGTCAGATTTATCCTTGGATCAAGCAGTTATTACCCTACATTGTAAAGGGATACTCTACATATCAAAAATACTACAGCTCAGTGCAGTGGTTATGTTGGCAATAGTCTATGGGGGCCATAACATGGTTTTTGATCAGACTGCTTGGGAGTGGGGCTAGAACCTATAGTCTGTCTATTAGTCAGCAATTTTGATAGTATGAAATTGACACTTCTGCATTACCACAATCAATTCTGTCAAAAATGCATGAGTGAGACAGGCTGAAGGCATGGAGTAACCTGTTTTCAGCTTTAGAGGCTGAATATAATTGATGTTAGTAAGGTTGAAATGTAAATATCATAGGATGTTGCCCATAGCTT